ACCCAGTCGCCCCAGCAACTCCGTGAGTGGTTATTTCAGCGTGGGACGTCTGGGGGTAGTGATAGCTGCCCGTATGTCATTCGCACGGGTGACCGTGCTGGTCACACATATGAGTAGTGTACGAGATAAGACATATATGTCTACTATCCGGGCGATGACGGTAGAAGGCTCGTTACATGTATGTACCAGTAAGGTCGGCTTGCTGCTGCCAGCAAAAAAAAACTTTAACATTATTGCCTGGCACAGTATTAACGCTGTCCGGCAAGACACTATCACTGCCCAAAGACGTTGATGCTGGCCGACAAATAATTTTTCTTCTGCCCGCAAGAAAGTGTCCTCTGAAGGTTGCGAAGAATGACTTGAGAACGAGGCGCTCCATGTCGTCTGGCTCCCAGTGGTAGGAGGAGAGCGTGTGCAGGCAGTCACTGCACAGGGAATGAACACGTGGCGAGAGTGTGGGGTCAGGGCAGGGAGGGTGCTTTACTCTCACTTCCTTCTCTAATGGCGTCTGGCTCCCAGTGGTACGAGGAGAGAGAACACAGGCATTCACAACACAAGGGGGGAGTTGGGAAAAGAGGGCGCTTCAGTCTCTCCCTCTCTCTTTCTAATGGCACCAGCATCCCAGCGTTACGAGGAGAGCGTGCTCAGGCAGTCGCTGCAGGGAACAAACAAGGGGGTAGAGTGTGGGGTCAGGCCAGAGAGGGTGTTTTAATATGTTCCTAATGGCGCGTGTGCCTCCCAGTGGTACTAGGAGAGCGTGCTCAGGCAGTCACTGCACAGGGGGGGCACCAGAGGAGAAGGATATGCAGGAGACGAGGCATGATGTGATAGTCCCTCCAGTACGGCTGCACCACCCCACCTGTGCGGCTGCACCACCCCACATGTGTAATTTGAGGAACTATTCGTAGATGTGCTTAAGGTGCGCCAGCCCTCACATTACCCCATACGTAGAAGGGGTACTTGTCCCGCCACACAGTAAATTCGACTCAAAACTAACACCCCACCGGCGCTGCTGCAGCATCACACACACCTGTGGGGCTCGAGGAACTCTTCGTAGAGGTGCTTAAGGTGCGTCGCCCACTCGTGCACGGTGGTCTTGCGCCACGCGCCATCGCAAATCACTTAGTCCTTCTGCTCCAACGCCAGGTCCTCAAACGCAATGTTGAACCGGTGCAGGCTGTGGGAGGGGAGAAAGCGAGGGGTATGTTGAGGAGAAGGGAGGAGGAGAGGGACTTGCGTGCACCGCACGCGCCATCGCTGATCACCCAGTCCCTCTGCTCCAACACCAGGCCCTCGAATGCGATGTTGAAGCGGTGCAGACTGCGGGAGGGGAAAGGAAGCGAGGGGAATCTTGAGAGGAGGGGGGAAGACATGTGTTGCGCCATGCGCCATCGCAGATGACCCAGTCCTTCTGCTCCAACGCCAGGTGTTGAAGCGGTGCAAGCTAGAGGAAGGGAGGGAAAATGTGCTCATTGAGGAAAAGGGGGAAGACAACACTTGCACAATGTGCCATCACACATCACCCAGTGGTCCAATCTTCTGAACCAATGAGGTCTTAAAAGCCAATGTTGAATCCGTGGAGGCTACAGGAGGGCGAAGGAGAGACGGGTTTGGGGGAGGAAAAGGGATGAGGAGAGAGGGTCATGCAGTACACACACAATTGCAGAACACCCAGTGGTTCTACTCCAATGCGAGGTCCTGACAGGCGATGTTGGAAGCTCACATGGCCACGTGCGACGAGTCTACAACCTCTCGATGGACCCAAGTCTACAACCTGTTGACTCGTTGACTCTTACCACCCTTTGACTTCCTTGACTTAAGCTCACCGCCGGTTGACTCAGACTCACTGGCCGTTGACTTCACTGGGCTCCATGGCGGCACTCCTCCCTCACCCGCCCAGCGATGCCGTCACCTGTGGCAGCAGCGGCAAGCACACAGGCACATGGGACGCGAGTCAAGCGAGGTTGTGAGGCATGGTGGGTGGCTGAGAGGTGCGGGCGGGGAAATGGACTCCATGTAACATGTTGTGTGCGGTAATGATGTGTGTTGTATGGTGAGAATAAGTGCACTGTAACATGGACTGTTAAGGTCGGACACACACGCTCTAACGCGTGGCACGCACGCTCTAACGTGTGGCACGCTCTAACGCGTGGCACGCATGCTCTAACACGTGGCATGCTCTAACACGTGGCACGCTCTAACGCGTGGCACAGTCGTTAGCACACTAATACATGGCAAACAGTAACACTTGGCACACCACCATCTGCTTACCTTCTGCAGCCCAGTCTCCCTAAAGGCCTTTGATTGGGCCTCCAACAGCTTCTGATTCTCCAGAGGCAGGTGAATCTTCTCACTCAACTTGCCCGAGAAAGCAGAAAGAAGGTGGGCGTGGAGGGTTGAGGACGGGTGAGGGAGTGAGCTGGCAAGAAGATCAAGGAAATAAAATCTGATAGGACTACGCTGAGAGGGAAGGCACAAAGAAAACCTGCATAGCCAGCGCAAAAGATGAGAAATGGTGCAACGCACCGCAGCCATTATAAATTTTAGAGCATGCAAGATACGTAACGTGGATGTAGCGTCGACATGAAGATCTCCTCATCACACATACCGGTTGATGTAGAGGAGGTTGTTGATGAGGAAGAGCGACTTTAGCTGTGGGTTGTTGCATGTTCCCGCCCTGGCCTCCATGTTCCGTACCAATGCGTCAACCACATGCACGGGGGAAGAGAGGGTCAAGGGCGGTGGAAGGTGTTCGAGAGCGATGGAGCGGGATGAAGAGGATGGAGGTGTGGTTTGAAGGAAGGGTTGTACATTCCTCATGCAAAGGAAAGAGATATTTGCTGTATGTAGAGATGCAGCTTTTCTTTGTTCTCCTGGTGGATGAGAACACAATATTACATGCAAAACATCCTCAGTCGTAACTGAAGCTCTGCTGCCTTGTGTGCCCCACGCCTTTCACTCACTTCCCCCCCTGCCCCTCACCTTCACCGTTTCCTCTTCCATGATCCTCACCTCTATTACCTCTTTGTCTCCCCTCTTCCCCCCTTTCTCCCCCCACCTCCCCCCTCCCTCTCACCTTCATTTCCTCCTCCATACTGCGCCCCTGCCCGTGCCATACCCATATGCCCACGATGACGTCGCACTCCTGTGAAGGGTAAGACCACGAGATGCAAACGGGGAAAGATTGATATGCTTGATTTGATGCCCTCTGCCGTGCTGTGGTGAGTGATTCCAGCAGCTTCTCCAGCATCGTGCCGTACCCATACGCCCGCAATGACGTCGCACTCCTGTGAAGGGTAAGACCACGGGATGCAGACGGGGAAGGATTGATATGCTTGATTTTATGCCCTCTGCCGTGCTGTGGTGAGTAATTCCAGCAGCTTCTCCAGCATCGTGCCGTACCCATACGCCCGCGATGACGTCGCACTCCTGTGAAGGGTAAGACCACGGGATGCAGACGGGGAAGGATTGTTATGCTTGATCTGATGCCCTCTGCCGTGCTGTGGTGAGTGATTCCAGCGGCTTCTCCAGCATCGTGCCGAACCCATACGCCCGCAATGACGTCGCACTCCTGTGAGGGTGGAGCGAGAGGTGGACAAGACACCATTCAGCCAGAATGAGCCAATGTGTGGGTGGTTGGGTGGGTGGGTGGGTGGGCAGGTGGGTGGTTGGGTGGGTGGGTGATGTGGAACTTGTGTGAGGGGTGGAGCGAGAGGTGGATAACCATTGGGGCAGAATGAGGCAATTGTATGCCAAGATAGGTGCAGCATGAAAGAGCATGAAACGGGAAGGACTCGTATTGCAGGGAGAGGAAGCAAATGAGGGGGGGGACACAAGGCGCATGGCACCACGGGGATCACATCACAAGGCCCATGTGCGGGCGGGTGGGTGGGTGACTTTTGAAATGTCTCAAAAGGCACCAAGGCGATCACATCACAAGGCACACGTACGGGCGGGTGGGTGGGTGCATGGCACAGGCCATACATGCACCCATCTGCCCAGGTAGGTGGCAACGAAATTGACAACATAGCTGGTGACGGCATGCATGCACCATTGCCGTGTGACAACGCAATACACATGAGGCAGGCATGAGGCACATGAGGCAGGCATGAGGCACATGAGGCGGGGATGAGGCACATGAGGCGGGGATGAGGCACATGAAGGGCACATGGGGCACACACATGTGTGGCGGTTAAGTGTTTGCAGCACGCACCTGCCCAGGTAGTTGGCAATGTAGTTGATGACATAGCTGGTGACGGCATGCACGCTTCCACTCTTCTCCACGGTACCCCCCCCCTCCCCCGCCCTCCTTGCTGCTGCTGCTGCCCTCTCCTCGGAACAACCGCCTGCATGCCACAGCACAGCACCGCACAGCACAGCACAGCACAGCACAAAAGACTAGGTGCATAAGTTACAAGGCATAAGATGCAGCGCACATGGCACAATACACACATCATAAAGTTGCAGATGCAGTGCAACGCTCAAAGCACACACAGAGGTCAACCCCACCCCACCCCACCCCAATCTCCCCACTTATTCTTCCCTGCTGCTCTCACCACTTGCACTCAACCACCATCCCCCTATTTTGTAAACTCCCACACACCGCCACGCCACTTGTTCTTGCATGGCAGCTCACTAGTTGCTCTCAATTCCGTCCCCTCTCCCCTTCGCTCCCTCCCAAGTACCACTTGTTTCTGCAAGGCTGCTCTCCATGCACCTTAGCGTGGCCGTGAGCGCATCAAACATTCCCAGTACTGCTTATCCCCCTCCCTCCCTCTCCCAAGCTCGATCCATCCCACGTTCCACTTGTTTCTGCGTGGCTGCTCCACAGGCACCTGCAGCATGGCGGTGAGTGCATCGGACGTGCCCAGCACCGCCTTCGCCTCGCCGCGTGTCAGCCCCCGCCACTCCGCCATCAGCCCTTCACTATCCGGCCAACACACTAGCCGCTCCACCTGCCAGGATTTGAGAAAGGGAGGGGGGCAAGAGGGGGTGGTGAGTGGGGATTGGGGGGAGTTGGGGCTGTTTAAGTGGATTAGACGTCTCACAGCCCCCGCCACTTCGCCAGCAGCCCCTCACTGTTCGACCAGCACACCAGCCGCTCCACCTGGTGGGGAGTAGGGGAGAGAGGGAGTTGAGTTAACTAGAGTCCACAGGCTTCTGACCACGAAACCCCAACTTAGACCCAGAATCTCCAAACCTTAGCCCACACAACACAACGAGCCCACCTCGGGCATGAGCTCACCCACAGCGACCTCAGGCCCACACAGCAGAAACATCCGCTCATGTGTGGCCTGGGCAGCCGTGAGCGTGTTGGCGTTGTGCATCAGCGTTGACAGCATCCGCGGCATCCCCTCCGCCCATAAACCCTAACCCCGACCCCCAGACGCCCATCTCACCCCAGCATCAGCAGCCTAGCTGAGAAAAGAGCTCCGCTAACCCAAACACAACTGACACCCCCAACATCCCCCCCCACTGCCCACCTGGGGCATGATCTCGTCCACGGCAGCAGCCATGTCCAGCAGTAGAAAAGGCCGCTCAGGCTTTGAGGCACCTCACAACGCACCCCAACAACGCCAATCACCAACACCCCCCTCCCACCCCCAATTTTCCCACTGCCCACCTGGGGCATGAGCTCGTCCACTACAGAGGCCATGTCCAGCAGCAGAAACAACCTCTCAGGAGTGGCTTGTGCAGCCGTGAGCGTGTTGGCGTTGTGCATCAGTGTTAACAGCGTGCGCGGTATCCTTGCCCGGCGTAATATCTTCAGGGAGTCCGCCGCAGCCTCGTCGTCGAGCCTCAAGGTCCGGGTGACCCTGGACCTCCCGAACTTTCTGCCTGTGGTTCGGATGCTGGAGGATTGGTGGCTGGGGAGGCGAGGGTTGGAGAAGGCTATGCTGGTGGTTGTGAAGGAGGAGGAGGCGGAAGAAGGGGTTTGCTGGAGTGTGGCAGAGGCGGGCTCGCTCTCAGCATGCACAAGCTCCCCTCATCCCAAGGAGACCCGCAGCACAAACACCCCTCACACGCAGCACACGTGTCCTCGCCACCAGGCGGCGGCAGTCATGGAGCCAGTCCGTCATGGTGTGGAGTGTGGTAGAGGCGGGCTCGCTCTCAGCATGCACAAGCTCCCCTCATCCCGAGGAGACCCGCAGCACAAACACCCCTCACACGCAGCACACGTGTCCTCGCCACCAGGCGGCGGCAGTCATGGAGCCAGTCCATCATGGTGTGGAGTGTGGCAGAGGCGGGCTCGCTCTCAGCATGCACAAGCTCCCCTCATCCCAAGGAGACCCGCAGCACAAACACCCCTCACACGCAGCACACGTGTCCTCGCCACCAGGCGGCGGCAGTCATGGAGCCAGTCTATCATGGTGTGGAGTGTGGTAGAGGCGGGCTCGCTCTCAGCATGCACAAGCTCCCCTCATCCCAAGGAGACCCGCTGCACAAACACCCCTCACACGCAGCACACGTGTCCTCGCCACCAGGCGGCGGCAGTCATGGAGCCAGTCCGTCATGGTGTGCTACAGCTGCCCTCACCTCCAACGCCTTTATCATCTCCCGCACACGGTCCTCCCGCACCGACCTGATACCATGGGGGGGGAGTCACGCAAAATTTAACGGGTTGAGGGGGGGATCGAGTAAGAGATAGAGGGGTGAGGAGAAGAAGGGGATAGGCGATGGCCGGTGAGAGAGGGTGAGTAGCTCAAGCCATCATTGCTTCACATGGTAGAGCGTCACGTTTTGAGTCGACTCACAATACAGCAGAGCATCACTGTCACATTGCAACCCCACACCACACTGCACCTGGTGGCAAGTTCACGTGGCTCCCATCTCTGTCCTTTCTGATCGTCCTTACACCACTCACCCGCTATGTGCTTTCCAGAGCACACGCACGTCTGAGCCGGGCCAGGCATGGTAACACGCCCAAACGCATTCCACGAACCTCTCACACCTGCAAGCTGCTGTCACAATAGCGTCTTAGCTGAGGAACGGGTTTAACTTAGGGCCTAGGCTTAGTAGCCTAGGCCAAGCGGGTGTCGAGTTGGCCCATCAGCACCCCCCACTCAACGACACACGCGGGAGTGAGCGAGAGGAGGAGGAGGCGGCTGTAGCTGCTGGCGGGGTCTCTGCTGGCGGTGTAGCTGCTGGCGGGGTCTCTGCTGGCGGAGTAGCTGCTGGCGGGGTCTCTGCTGGCGGTGTCGCTGGCGTTGTAGCTGCTGGCGGTCCTGCCATGCCCTTCCCCCGCTTCCCTCTCCTCCACAGCGTTCGGCCGCCACTCCCTGCCCTTCTTCCCTCCCCCCCCCCCCCCCCCCACAGCGACCCCCGCTCCACTCGCAAACACCACGACGGGGGGTGAGGAGGGGGGGGGGGGGGGGGGGGGGGGGGGGACAGGCAGAGCGGGGGTAATGCGACGGGCAGAGCGACGGCGGGATAAGGAGCGGATGGGGCGACGGGAAGCAGGGCAACGGGCGACGGTGTAAGTGATGTCGGCGGGTCCATTTGCGGGCTCGCTGGCGAGCCCATTGGCGCGTTCGACGGTGGGGTCGCAGGTGCGTGGGTGAACGCGTTGGTCATTTCGCTCGCGGGCTCGCGAGTCCGTTGGTGTGCTCGCTGGCGGGTCTGTCGGTGGATTCGTCGGCGGGTCCGTCAGCGGATTCGTCAGCGCATCCGTCGGCGAATTCGTTGGCGGGGCCGTCGATGGGCTCGCTGGCGGGTCCGTCAGCGTGCTCGCCATGGGCCGCGCACACCATGGTCAAATCAGGTGGTTGAACAGTTACTAGGTACAGCCTGCAAAGACGACCTCAGCCACTGGGATCTACAGTTACTGACCCTAGAGTTGCTTACAACGCGTCACATGCCGCTACAAGGAAATTCCCTTTCTTTCTGTGGAACGGACGGGAACAACTTACACCACAACTGCCAACCACACCGGCACACGTCCAAGCCGCACATGACCTCATCACCACCATGCAGCAACTACGGGAGAAAACTCGGCGACATCTCACCACGATGTAGGACTCCCAGAAACAGTATGTGGATCGACAGCGACAAGATCACTCAAGCAATTGGGATCAGGTTCTTCTAGACATACGCAACTTGGACTTGTCTCATCAACCGTCCAAGCTCCGGCCTCGCTTTTATGGTACCTTTTGCTTTAAGGAGAAGGTGACAGCAGCAAAGTCGACTAGCTCAGTAACTAAGGCAAACGCAGCAGTCGACTCAAAGTCAGGGTCAGTGATGACAGTAGCGAGGAGACGAGTGACAGTAGGACTGGCAGCACGAGCAAGATCGGACTCAGGGTCAGGCCCGTTAGGAAGAGAAGACGCTGGAGGAGACGGCAGGGCAACACGCTGTGGAACAGAGGAAGGATGAAGTGTTATAACGTGAGTGCCTGGGACAGCAGGAGGACGAGGTTGGGCGACACGACGAGCAAAAACAGGTATGGAGGCACAAGACGCAGGCTCACGATGCTTAGTCAGGGAGTCTGGCAGCTCAGCGTAGGGAGAAGGAGCAGGCAGTGGGGAGCTAGGTGGCAACTGTGACTGAGACGGGCCAGACGGTGGACACAGGAGAGGTGGAGTGAGTCCAGTGGAAGACGGGAGACTAAGAACCTGGCAAAGGGCCGAGTCAGGCGGTGGCAGGGACGACTGCTGCAGCGGGTAGAAAAACGGTCGGCGCGGCGCAATACTCATACCGTCAGCAGCTCCAGCACCTCCAGTACCTCTAGCTCCAGCACCTCCAGTAGCACCTTCAGCACCTCCAGCACCAGCAGTACCACCAGCTCCGGCAGCTCCAGCACCTCTAGTACGAGCAACTCCAGGACCAGCAGCTCCAGCACCTCCAGTACCTCCAGCTCCAGCGCCTCCAGCACCAGCAGCACCACCAGCTCCGGCAGCTCCAACAACTCTAGTACGAGCACCTCCAGGACCAGCAGCTTCAGCACCTCCAGTACCTCCAGCTCCAGCGCCTCCAGCACCAGCAGCACCTCCAGCACCAGCAACACCACCAGCTCCGGCAGCTCCAGCACCTCTAGTAAGAGCACCTCCATGACCAGCAGTTCCAGCACCTCCAGTACCTCCAGCAGCTCCAGCTCTAGCGCCTCCAGCACCAGCAGCACCTCCAGCACCTCCAGCACCTCCAGCGCCAGCAGCACCACCAGCTCTGGCAGCTCCAGCACCTCCAGTACGAGCATCTCCAGGACCAGAAGCTCCAACACCTCCAGGACCTCCAGTACTTCCAGCTCCAGCGCCTCCGGCACCAGTAGTTCCTCCAGCACCTCCAGCACCAGTAGCTCCAGTACCTCCAGCACCACCAGCTCCAGCGCCTCCAGCACCAGCAGAACCTTCACTAGTTCCTCCAGCACCAGCAGCACCTCCAGCACCTCCAGCACTAGCAGCTCCAGCACCTGCAGACCTCCAGCAGTACCTCCAGCACCAGCAGCTCCTGCGTCTAGGAAACTCCAAGCTCCAGCACCAGAGTGGCCTCGCTGAACGACTCACTCACGAAGCTGCTGCGGTGAGGGCATCTCAAGTCGACTAGGTGGCTGCTGCTGTCCAACGCCAGGACCTGCAGTAGGAGCACCCACGGCCCCACCACCACTAGGACTCGCAGCACCCCCAACGTCAGCACCCCTAGAGTCAGCACCCCCAGAACCCTCACCCCCAGTCTCAGCACCCCCAGGACCAGCACACCCAGTCTCATCACCCCCAGTCACAGCACCCCCAGTCTCAGCACCTCTAGAACCCTCACCCCTAGTCTCACCACCCCCTGCGACACCAGTGTCTACAGCTACAGGCTGCAGAGGCGGCGAAGATGGTCGAGGCGGAAATCCAGGAGAGATCTCCAAGCGTGGAGAGCGGCGAGTGGCCGCCGTGTCGACAGCGGCGGGGTCAACCCCCTCAGCGGGGCCAGAGGAGTCAGAAGAGATCTCCAAAGGCTCAACTAAAGGGGGTGGGTCTACCTGAGACACACCTGAGGGAGCAGGACCCTGTGGGGGAGGGGGTCTACCGGGAGGGAACTGGGACCAGAGAGGCGCCAAGGGGACCGGGTAGGACGCGTGCGGGTGGAGCCTGTAGAAACAGACAGACTCGTCATAGGTGACGTCATGGGAGGACAAGACTTGACGCGAGCGAAGGTAATAAAATTGCCACGGTGGGGCGTCAGTGAGGAAGCCCATGAAGGTGCAGCGGAGAGTGCGACGAGAGAGCTTGCTCGCGGTGGTATCGCAAACAAGGAAGAGCGCGCCCCAGACCCGAAACGTCGATGCATCGCCAAACTTTCCCGTCCAACCAAGTGTGGGCGAGGTCTCTGGCAAAGAGACACAGGGCCAGAGGTTGAGCTGATGCGCGGCATATCGGACCGCAAACGGCCACAGAAGATGGGGAGCAGCCGTATGGATCATGGAGGTATGAGAAACCTCCATGATCAAGCCAATGCGACGCTCAGCAATCCCATTCTGCTGCGGACAGTCCGGAAGCGTGAACGACTGGACGATGCCCTTGTCTCAACAGAACTCTGCAAGGAGGCCGGAAGAGAACTCATTGCCCCTGTCAGAGTGCAGACGCAGGACCGAAAGGTCCCGCCGAAACTGCTCGCACAGCTGGCGAAGAGTAGCGCAAATCAAGGGGATCAAAACGCAGCGGACGTCCGCGTTGCCGCGGAAGGGGAAGACCGTTGTGTAGCTCGTGTAGTCGTCAACGACTAGCAGGAAGTAGTGGTTCTGGTCCGTCCCACAGACGGAGGCCGGGCCCCACACGTCCACGTGGAGAGGAGTAGTGGTAGGAGGAAACGAGGAGGAGTGAGGAGTGGCGCGCTGCCGCCCCTCGACGCAGGGAAGGCACGGCGGGGCAGGCAAGCGCGGGAGGGGGGGCAGGGACCTGGGAAGGCCAGAGACAAGGAGACGGGAGTGCATGCTGCGGAGACGCGGCAGAGAGGCGGTGGTGCCAAATATGAGTCTAGTGTGAGAGTACCCGACACGAGCACGACGCAGCGAACTGACCAGACGTAGACACCTGACTCGACGCGGCCACCTGACCTGACGCAGCCACCTGTGTAGACGCAGTGGCCAGGGTGTACAAACTAGACCCAGGCTGTCGAGTGGACGTAGCAAGGTGACGTCCAGTACGGGAGCACGTACAGATCGCAACACGGTGCCCTCCAGGGATAAAGGTATCAACCCAAACATCTTAAAGGACTGCGTTGCTCATCAAGTTCGTCGAGAACGAGGGGAGGTGGAGGCCTGAAAGAGAGCCGGAGGGGACTGCTGGACACAGGAGGACAGTGGAGGCTCGTGCAACAACGGGGCCCCCAGAGGGGTCAGCCAGTGAGACTGGGACCGGTACAGCTAGTGGTGTGACTGTGGTGCAATCACGAAAGAAGCAACGAGACGCGCCAGAGTCAAGTGTGAAAGTGTTCAGGGCCTCAGCTGAGGCAGCAGACTCACTAGTGGCAGACTCACTAGCACCTGTGGCAGCAGTCTCACTGGCACCTAGAGCGGCAGCAGACTCACTAGCACCTAGAGCAGCAGCACCGACACTACCAGAGACGCGTCGCTGAGAAAACCACTCCCGATGATGCTATGGCTACAGAATCTCCGGGGTATGAGACTTCCGTTGCTGTCGAGTACCTCCAGTAACATATCCTCCGCCACCAGGACAGCCTCGCTGAATAACCCACTCACGAAGCTGCTGAGGCGATAAAGTATCCGGGTGAGGGAACTGCTGTTGTCTACCAACAGACGCTGCTACGGGCGTGATGGTGGCCATGACAGGCAGTGGCAGTCAGTAGCAGCGGCGCAAGGGCGTCAGAAGCGACTTCTGTAGCTATGGCTGTAGAAGTAGCAGTAGTCGTTGTAGTGGCTGCAGGGCAGGGCAGCACGCGGGCTGCAGGGCGTGCAGGCAGCGCGCGGCGAGCAGGGCAGCGTACGACGGTAGCAGCTCCTGGGGCAGAACGTACGGTTCGTGGGCCCTACCGGTGCGGTCCTACGAAGGGACCTCCTCAGATTCCATGTCAAGAAAACTGTGCAAGAATGGATGAACTATACAAGAGTGAGATATAAGCAGTAAACCCTAAATAAGGTTGTACTCTATACTGAGCACCTCACTGTAGCCAAGCAGAACTAAGAACATAACTTATTGTGATAAACTGTGTGTCAATTTCTGTTATGCGAGCATTTTGTGTTTATAGCTGCATTGATACACTCTCAGTTAGTAACTTCGCCTACATCTCTTCACTGGCTCCAGGAAGTTTTACGCCGAACATACAAGGCGAGAATGATATTTGTACTAGCTTGTCTTTGATGAAGGTCGCTAACATGAAAGATGTTTCTTGAATTGCACCAGGGCTTATTTTATCTGGGTATTTTACCCTTTTTGCCTTGACAATCTTCCGCTTTTTCCGAGTTACCCCTGCCAAATCAGCCTACAAAAAAATTTACCCTAGCGTGAAAAGGCTATGGTTCCATCTACACTGTTACATTTTTTTTCACCCTAGCTGTATCA